TAGCAAACAAAGCACTCTGCTCAGTAAATCAAGGAGGAAGAGAGGTGTTTGTTTACCATAGGGTTTGTTTGATCTTGACACAAGTATTTTTGTTGTTGTTGCTTAATGGTCATATTGGTAGATTGCTTGCATCTTTGGAGGCTTCTACAAAATACTTAGTTTTTCAAAGGCATTGTGCTGAAAAGACCAAAATGATATTCTTGTGGGATTTATTGTTTCAGATGAGGATAGTTATTTGATATTAGTTATTTTTATTTCTGATATGATCTACTTTGAAATGATTAAGGGAGTTCTGCTGAAAGAATTTTAATTGTTATAGTGCATTGTGCTGCTAGGTCTTCAAAAAACATAGAAAAATATTTTAGTATGCTGCTTAGTTTAATCCAGCTGAGACAACTGGAACTATCTTATTTTAGGAATGCCTAATAAGACCAGTATGGAAGGTTTTAATACTATAAGGCAAAATCAGCATTAATATCTTTGGGCCTGGCATGTGGAATTTTTGGAATGGACCTTAGTCTGTCCTGAAGAATGTTGGGAATGATGGTGATTAGAAATGGAAGGAGGTATATCCATATTCATCAGCAGGCTTGGTCCGGCTCCAGGAAAACTGGCCAATTCTGGATTCTATTTATGAAGCGTGTAACTGCTATTAATGAGATGGTTATTGGGGGATGGGAATCACAGGGATGAAAATGAAATGAAGAACTGAATAATTTCTCATTCAAAAGGATCTTCTGTTCATGAGAGGATGCAGACACTATACTGAATGAGCAAATGTGGCACTCATTCAACTGTGTTTATCAATTAGAGCAGGGGACTTGTTTTCCTTTTTTTTCCAGAGGAATGTAATTAAATAATTAATTTCACAAAATTGTTTACATATACGGATGATTACTGTTTAGGAATTTAGGAATGTACCTAAATTTAAGCAAAGTATGGATCTTGTCCATTAATTTTGGAACTAGATTGATTTTCAGTTAAATAATCAAAGCTGAAGTTTTTGCTCTGTAAATTGGATTGTGGGTTTTTTCCCCTCTCCTTGTGTTCATAATATGAAAGTGTGTGTGCCTGCAGGAAAAGCAAGCTTTAAGGCTTTTCTGGTTTCTGTTTTTTATGCAGATCTTACCAGATGTTATCTGTTGACCCTTGAGACTTGATTTCTCATTTTTCATTAGTCCATTTGTGCTTTTTATTTCTTTTTGCCATTGCTATTATTGTCTTTGTTTTTAAAGAATGTCTGTTGTTCTCTTTAGAAAAAAAGTTAACTAATGCAGAAATTTAATGAAGAAATACTTTTGAAATTAAAAAGTGTGATTGTGCGTATTTAAGTCCGAGTGGCATTTAAGAGTTATTGGTTTATTTATAGTGCGGTTTCTTTTTCTTTAAGTCTGGTAAAAAGCAGTTTTAGCTGAACAAGTAGGGTACAGTGTTTTTCTGGAATGTCTGGCATTTGAAGGAGAGATGTGCTCTGAACTAGTTAAAGTAGCCAAAATGTTTTACACAAATTCAGACCATTAAAAATTAACATACTTTAGTGTGATGGGAAGAACTGAGAATGCCCTCAAGGAGAGGGAGAACTGTCTGAGACAAAAAAAAAACACCAGTTGGAATTACTGTCAGCACCAGGAAAAGGGCATTGCTTAGAAGAGACGGTTAGGATTGTGGTGTCACTTAAACAAACGGAGGAAGCAGGCCTGCGTGTTTATGAGGCAAATTTCAAACCAGCTCATCCCTTTTCAGTCTGGCAAGAACTTCTGTAACATTAGCTAAAGTGAACGTCTGCAAGAGGCACCAGGCTAGAAAGCAGGAGAAAGTGAATTCCAGTCTCGCCTTAGGCATGAAAGCTAGCTGGGTGACTTTGGGCTAGTAAAACTCATCTTATAGGGTGCTTGTTGTGAAGAAAATAGGAAGAGGAAGGTGTGTTGGATATGTTTCCACCTTGAGTTATTTGTAAAAATAGTAAAGGCAGGATGCAAATACATAAAATAAGAAGTACCTCATATGACTGTTTTCATTTACTGCACTCTGTTTCAGAGAAGGATATTATCTGTTGAGTCTTTCTGATGATGATTGGGTTGTCTTTACGTTTGTATTTGTTAACATGTTCATGGCTAGAAAGGGTACATTTTGATAAGGCTGATACCAGCAAGTTAGTTTATGTTAGTTTTTATGTTCTCTTTTAAACTTTTATTAAAAATGATTGTGTGTATTAGTATTTATATAGTGTGTATGAATATTTTGAGGTACAGATCAGTTTAGAACTAATCTGATTTCATACTTCAGTTGATGAATCAATTTTTTAAAAAAAGTGTTACCACATGTACAAACGTTTTTCCAAATTGTCAAATTGCAATCAAGCCACCTGCCACAGAGGTACATTTTATGATTTCTAAACTGTAAAACACATGTTCCAAAATGCATTCTCTTTCTATTAAAAAAGTAATTAAAAGATTCTTATATACTGACAGTTATTTTTCCTCCCCTTTTTCCTTCTTGTATTTTATTTCTCTATGTAGATTTTACATAAAAATGGACAGATATCCAGCATTAGTGAAATTACCAAAGAGCATGTGGAGCTCAGCCACGAACCAGAAGTGCTGAAAGAACAGCAGGCAGTTCTTACATTAGAAGGTAAGGAAATGTTTATGGCTACAGGAAAGATTCCTTGGAATTCTGGAAAAGATCAAAGGAAGTTGGAAGTTCTGATTTTTTTTTAAACAGAAATGGGAGAATATATGCAGATACAGTCCCTTTTGTTCTCCCAAAATATTATGCACTAAAATTGATATTCTGAAATCTCAGTATAATTCAGATATACAGTTGTAATATTGATGTGCAGTGGTTGTTTACAGGGGTATGTAAATAGTACAGTGAATTCTATTGCAGTGAACAGAAGCATTTGCATACCTGAGGCTATCCAGTTCTTTCTGTAGCCCATTTAAGTTACTCACATGCTAGAACATGAATAATCTCCATAACACATAGATGAAGAGGTTTTTAAGTTACAGGAACCTTGACTACATATATGCTTAGTGCAATGAGGATGAAAGGAACAAAGCTTTCTTCAATATTTAGAAATATTGCATTATAGAACATTAGCTGTGATGCATTGTTGCTATTGCCCATATAGAATATAGTTGAATCCTCAAAAAACTACTGTCAGCTATTTGGAATAATCTGGGCTAGTGAGCCCCTGCTGTAACCTTCCTATTGACGTTAAATTAAATTACAAATAGAACAGCACTGATTCCAAAGTAATGGAGATTAGTTTTGATAGTTCCCACTGTTGAAATGTTTGAAGGGTGAGCAGGAGACGAATCATGTAGAGAAGGTCTGTCTATGTGCTCATTAAGAGTTTACACTACCTTGATGACACATAATCAAAAAAGAGAACTGGTATTTGCCTGAAAGCTTGATTTTAGACCACACTCTTATTTTGTGCTATCTAGTTGAAAACTATATTTTTAGACTAGGATCTGTGCTATTTGTGGCTTTATTGAGTTCAGGTCAGTGGTAGGATTCAAATTTTTTAGTACCGGTTCTGTGGGCGTGGCTTGGTGGGCATGGCCATGTGACTAGGTGGGCATCCTTTTTTTTTTTTTTTTTGCTTTTTTGCAGCCACCCCCACCTGGTTTTTTTGGGGGCATTCTGGGCCTCAGAGCCTCTGGGGGGGCATTTTTGCTCCCAGAAGGCTCCTCTGGGGCTTAGGAAGAAAAAAAACAGAGCATGGGAGGGGCACACAGCACCCCTCCATGCTCCATTTTGGGGGTCCTCCTGGCCTCAGAAGAGCCTCTGGGGGGTGCTTTTGCTCCCAGAAGACTCCTCTGGGGGTTCACTGAGTCCCTCCCTCCATTTTTTGCTTTCCTGGGCCTCAGCAAGGGGAATCCTGGCACAGCTGATCGTATGAACAGCTGATTGTTGGAAGGGGAAAAAAAGAAAAATACCTTAACGGGTGAGAGGCGGGCGGGGTGAGTGAGCATCGGGTGGGGCAAGCAAGCCAGCGGCGACCGAGCAACCAGGTTGGGGGCATGGCCAGCCAGAACTTACTACCGGTTCGGCGACCCGTGCCAAATCCTTGCTACCGATTCACCCGATGTGGTGCAAACCGGCTGAATACCACCACTGGTTCAGATTCACTTCATAGATGTGTTCCAAGGTAGTTGCATCTCTTTTTTTTTTTTTCAAACTGGCAAGGTACTCAAATCAGATAACACTTCCTAAATTCAAAAGATCCCTAATTCTGGCATGTTAGTGAAAACACAGGAAGGCATGAACTATATTTCTTACTTATTGCATTTCCGTAGTTACATAGTAAAACATTGATCATCTTTCCACAGTTCATCATAACTGATAAAATAGTAATATTCAAAAATTAAATAATAAATGATTGTTAAAAAAAACAATTTTTATGAAGAAATAAAGAACAACTATTCCCCAATCCCAGGATATAGAGGTAAGTATATGTTGAGGATCAACATCAAAACTGTCCACTGAGACCTAGAAATGATCCTGGGAAAAAGTCAAATAAAAGCTTACTTGAAAGTTAGATTCCATTTACAAGGTAGAATTATCTCTAGAGAATTTTGATTGGCAGCAACCAAGGTCTAGATACCGGACGTTTTGGCTTTAAAAATAATCAATATCAAGCAGTCTGTGCTGAGACAATACCTGTGAATTGGCCTCTGATCTTGTTGCCAGACTCCTCTTAGCTCTTTGATGTTTGATCCCTGGACAATTTCCAGAATCTGTTTTGGACTCTGACTTAATTGCTCTTGGCTGTTTTTTATGGTGTTTTATGGCTTGTCTCCCAACTTTATCTTCAACAGTTTATTGAGTTTTTCAGTTCTGTTGTCTTTGGGGAGAAAAAACATGTTTCTGAAGTAATCTCTGACAGTTTTATTGTTATAAAAGATATAATGAATTCCTGATCATACTGGGCAAGGTGACATTACCATGAAAATTAAGTTTTGTGGTAGGTTAATTTCAGTTATTCAACTGAAATTGAAATAAATTTCTGGGAACACAGTCAGATGCTTATATACTACCATAATAGATATACTATTTTCAAGTATCCAATCCAATATAGTGGATAAAAAGAACGTTCAAGGTGACATTCAGTAATTGCAACCCTGTGCTCACTGATGATATTCCAGTTATTATGAAGTAGGATTTCCCAAATTGCCTCTTTCTTTGTGACTTTAAACTATAGCCCCCTAAGCCCCAAAATAACCGTATAATTAATAAGCAATATAATTTATTAACTGACTTTTGAGACTAATGGCATAAAGGTAATAGAATAATAAGACAACAACTTGTGACAAATACTAATGTACATAGCAAACAAATACAGTAAGTAATAGTTTATGAGAATAAATTTACTACACTATTCAAGACCAAGTGTTCAGAGAACATAACTTCTAATTAATTGCGAGAAAGATGAGGCAGGAAGTCAGAGAACAGTAAGGGAGATGGGGAAAATTTCAAGAAATGTTTCATTCTGCGGTGTTCAACCATAGCAGATGGCAGGAGAAACAGAGAGTCACATGTCACAACCAAGAAAGGCAAAATTACTGAGGTTTCCTGATACAACTAGCGAATTAGGAAAAAAATTGAGAAAAGTACATTCTGTACCACTTACACTCTCTCACACATACACTAAGGGATGACACCTACTGCTATTAGGATTGTAGTAATTAGTAGTCCCACAGCAACCAACAGATTGTTGAAAGATTCCTATTTTTCTTTAGCTGAGGACCTTTCCCAAGCTAGATGTGCCTGCTAGTTTCCTTCTAGTATACTCTATAAGGGTACCAATTTCACAGTAATGTAGAAGAAAATTGTTCCCTGCAGGACAGACCATAGTTTATAAGATTAAATTTGCAAATTGAGCCAAATTTGAGATATACATTTGAGATGAGGAGCAAATCATGTAAACTATATACCAAGTGAGTGTGAGTTGAACCACCTCTGTTTCTTCCTGCAAGTTATTAATAATATGCATTAACTTGAATTATTAAGGTCAAAACAATAATGGGAGTATTTTTATATTACAATGCCATGTTTTATTATCATTACATGCCTTAAGTACTCAGTGTAGAAAACCAGAATTGAAACTTAGGTGATAGATTACCTAACATTTGTTTTTAAATATCAAATCACATGTTTAATGGTTTCACATACCATGCAAATCTTTTTTTAAAGTAGGCCCTTTAAGCCATTCGTTTTTGGGATGCGTTGGTATATTTCCAGTTCAATTAAGTAAAATGTTTGCAATATGCACCTCTAGTGGTTGGCAACTTTCTAATAAAAAACAGGCATAGCTAGGTAGCTGAATCATAGCAATACAAGAAGCCTCTTCTCTAGCATTGTTGTGTAGTGGTTAAAAAGTGCCATCTCATTTATTTTGAAATAAGGAAGTCATCTGTTTTACCACTGGTGTTTGTGGTAATATGCTTTCCATCACATCTTTGATTTGCTACTTGGAAGAAAAGATTAAAGGTATTTTTTCTGGAGAGTCTCAGGACACAAGAAGAATGTATGTCTTCTCTGTATGCATTTGACTTCAGGGGGGGCTATGTCAGTAGTTTTTAACCCTCGTTCTAAGGATATCAGTATCACCATTATTTGCCTATTCAAACTCTGGTTTATTTGCACCAAGAAGCAACTCACCAAAAGGAGTACAGTGGGGAGATGGAATAGCAGTAGCAATAGCACTTGCTCTGTAGTGCTTAACAGCACTCTCTAAGCAATTTACAGAGTTAGCATATTGCACCAACAATCCGTGTCCTCATTTTACCAACCTTAGAAGGATGGAAGACTGAATCAACCTTGAGCTGATCAGGATTGAACTCCTGGCAGTGGAATGCAGAGTTAGCCTGCAATACTGCATTCTAATCACTGTGCCACCATGGCTCACAGGAATAGGAGTGTAAGCAATTCCAACCCCCCCCCCCCCCGCCCGCTTCCCTCAATGAAACATTCATTCGAATCCTTCCAATTTACTGTACTAACCCAACTCTCCTAATTCATAACTTTCATGCCAGTGGTGGCTGAATGAAACAAGCCCTCTCACGATCTTGTCTGAAAGACATAAAGAGTTTTCTAATACAGGGTCAGTGTAAATTAGACTAAGTGAGGCATGAAATTTGCCTCCAGATGTATACTAAGGGTGACAAATTAATTTAAAATTATCTCAGTAGTGAGATAAGTAAAATAATTGTATTTGGACATTTCCTTAGTATTGCAAACATGCTCATGAATTCCAAAGATTGCCTACCCCAAATATAACTGCCTGTCAACTATTGTAATTTAAATGAGGAAGATTAGTTTATTACAGAAAGTGCCGCAAAGTATATTTTAGAGTACTTTGTGGATCAAGCTAATATAAAATCTGTTTTAAAATGTAGATATAGTATATTAATAGTCAAATAAGAATACTGTAAAATAATACTTTACTTCTTCAAATTACAAATTACTTTAGTAAAATGATTTAAAATAACAGTATACTTTAAATCACATTTTTTGTCTAGTAAATAGTAAATATGTTTTACTATAGCTCTCATTATCTTCAGCCCAACATGGAGGATACCAAATTTGAAAGTAATTGACTTCAGTATAATTTCAAGAATACA